GAAGAACACCAACTTGAGACCGGCACCTCCTTCGGACTCTTCCAGCAGGACTATAGCAACACGGCAATTTTGGCGTCAGATACATGGCTCAAAAGAGTCTGGAAAGAGTTGGAGGACTTGGATATCTGCGTTGCTCTCGACACTCCGGTCCTCCCTCTCCGGTGTGAAAGCGATGCTTTGCTCATTGAAGTATTCATGGAGTTGGAAGTGGACCAGGACGCTCTGAAGTGGCTCAACTGGTGTCGCATGTTCCTCCAAGTTTGCACCGTCTCTGACATCGTGACGGCCGATGGCCGCAGCATCCGGGAGTCAATATGGCATGGGGAACGCGACTACACTCATCGTTCTTCATCTCAATGGCCTCACACTGTCCGACCCAACAGGAACCACTGGAGGGTGTGGCAGGAGAACCTTACTCGAGCACTACTTGTCTCCGACGGAACCCAGCGCCTCCTGCGTCATCCACTGGGCCCATGGTTTGATCCTATCAACGACTGGAATTGGTTATGGTCTTCTACCCACGGATTGTTCCACCGCCAGGGCCACGGTTGGCAACACTACCGTCACCGTCGCTCCCCCACACGGAGCCTTCAATGGGACTATACTCGTCCTGCGCAATTGTCCGGGCGCAAACGACCACATAATGAGCCCGCCAACAATGGAGCCTGCTTCTTGTCGGCTCCCTTTTGGACCCATCCACTCCCAGAGGACGTGTGTCGAGCTACCGTCCACATTACGCCTTCGCTTGGTACTCTTAACCGTCTTTACTGGCCGCCTGGATGGCCGCCTCAGCCGAGGTGACCGAGTATGTCGGATGGACCCCTGAAGAAATAGAGATTGACGGCGACGAAAGCCTCCTGGCCGAAGCCTTACTCGAAGACCGGCTGTGCGTGATCAGCGACGGTTCTTATAAGCTAGGTCTGGGCACAGCGGCAGTTCAACTGCTCCCACGTAAGGGTGTCACAGAACGTATTATTGTTTGTTGCCAAACTCCGGGCCTACCTGATGACCAGAGCGCGTATCGGAGTGAATTGATTGGCCTACTGGCCGGTATCCTGATTGCACCCAACACTCGCTTCTTTACCAAATTGGCTGCCCTCTACATTGGTGATGTCAAACAGTCGCGATTGAATCCAGAGCATATCCAGGAACTGGTGGCGCTGCCTGCTCTACGCAAGCGATGGCACGAGCGGCAGACGATTACACCGGAGGCGGAGCTGGAGACCGATTGGACCAGTCTGGCTCGCGCCATGAGCTCCCTTCCGGCAGGTGTCCAACGTCGGACCACAAAGCATGTCGTGGGTATGTGTGGTGTGGGGAAGTTCAAAGTCCGATGGGGTTCCGCAGACTCAGCTGCGTGCCCCTGCTGCGGCGAGTTTGAGGACCACCTTCATGTCCCTCGATGCATGGCGCCCTCGGCGAGTGCGGAATGGGATCGCCGGACGGTGACCTTGGACCAATGGCTGGACGCTCAAGTCACTGACCCAGCCATCAAACACGCTATCCTTCATCTTCTTCAAGGGGTCCGTGATCCGTCCCTACCTTCCAGTTGGGTGGTTCCGGCTCGCCTTTGCAGCGCCTTCCTCTCCCAACAATGCATTGACTACCAAGGATTATTGGAAGGCCGGTTGTCTGTTCAGTGGGCGGCCCTACAAGAACAGTACCTTGAGTCACAAGGGAGCCAACGCTCTCCGACCCTGTGGGTCTCTCGCCTGTTGCATCAGCTGATCTTGCTTGGATTTCATATGTGGGAACACCGGAACTCGGTGCAACATTTGGAGGACAACGTACAGTTACGCGAACGTAGCCGATTGCTGAACGATGGTATACACTCTCAGTTTGATATGGGCCCAATTGACCTCCCCAAGGTAGTTCAACGCATGCTCGCCGTGAAACGCCGAACAGTGTTGAACACTCCGCTGGTCGATAGGGAAGAGTGGCTGAAGCTGGTTAGAATGGAACGCACGGCCTACCGCCGCGCTCTGGCGCCTCAACGCCGTATCCTTCACCGCTTCTTCCACCCGGCCCAGGTCCCATAACCCCGTTTTGAGGAATCAACGCCCCAAAATCACCCCGCCTTGTCGCGGGTAGAGTTGGGATCCTTTCGATCCTGACTAGAGCAACTTCTGTCCACCAGATGCCTCCAATGGTTCAAACTAGTTGTTGACTCGTCGCTTCACGGTACTTGACCTTTACATCCGCTTATTCCACCGGCAATCGTATGTGCAAGATAGCATTTAATCGATCAATGTTTCAGTTATTATTATTATCACAAGAAAGACTTTGGCAGCAACACCATCACGAAAAGAACATTGCAGTTGACAAGATGAATCAGAAGCTCCGAAAAGGGAGTTGGAATCTTCGGGCGGCCAAAGGTCAAGGAGGCCGGGAACCTACCAAGGACAAGGACAAGGACAAGGAAGGAGATTCGACTCGCAAGAAGTGTTCTCAATGCGAGAGTCGCACCCTGCACACTGCCTTGAAACTTGAGCACAACAAGACTGTTTGCCCCCTGGCAGGGCATGCCGGCTCATGCGCCAAGGTCGCGGCGGAACAAGTTGCCACTGCCGTCTTCTTAGCCAACAAAGAGCGCCTGGTTGGAGATATTATCAAGGAAGTCTCAGACAACTGGCCCAAGAAATCCCAAGCCGGGGGAGAAACCGGCAACCACCGGAGGTGCCACACATGTGGTATACTCTGGAGCTATATTCCGGAGGGGCCACTTGGCCTACACTGGGGACAAATCCGAAGGGGCGGCCAAAAGGCCGTCTACTTTGGGGACAACCATTCCGAAGGGACAGCCAAAAGGCCGTCTACTTTGGGGACAATGCACACATCACACATCAAGCCAAAAGAAGCAGTCACTCATCATCCAAACTGCCACCTGCGATCAACACCCACCACCACCACCCACACTTGTGAAAGCAATATCAATTTAATCTGTTATATCTGACTGTTCTGTTTGTATTCTTGTTTAATTGGAAGGTGAGCAAACTTGTACAGTTGAGTTGTGGCAAGTGGAGCAACAGTGGAAGTAGAGACTCGCAAGGTAGCTGCAACAACTTCGGTAGGACTGGAAACCCTGGGCATAATAGGAGGTGGATGTGAAGTCATGCGCTATGCATGGCCCAAGATGAAGGTAACATTCTCCATCCGAGAAAATGGGGAGACTGTTCCATCAGACTTGAGAGACCTACCAGTGGTGCTCTATGGACCCCACCGTCAATGGAAAGGGCTCCTCGACACTCACCCGGTGGATCTTTTGGTGATCAAGAAAGGCCACTAAACTCAACCAAGTGGCGGTCCCAAGCGAGAACCATGGGAGGACATGGTGGATTCCGTGCCTCACAAACACAGACCAAAGATTATCATTGAATCCTGGCGCTTGGACCCAACTTTGTGGCAATACAGACCAACAAGCAAACCTACAACTACTAGATGGAGAGAAGCTGGCTACAATATAAATTGTCGTACTATCAAAGCAACATTGATAGGAGGTGCCATCACCCAAGAACGGCTACTGGTGGTTCGGACAAGAATTGATTGTAGGGCACAATGTACATGGGACAGTTTAGATCAAGATCTGTCTGTGATCCGACCAATGGGAAATCTTCTCACGACGCCGGGATTGGTCCGCGCAACTCCTACTACTCCCAATCTGGCAGTGCACACACACCCCACTCCCTCCATGACCCGATGCCTAACCAAATAGGAGCATGGATCAAAACCGAAAAGGTAGATCGGCAACTCATGAAGGAAGAAGTTGCACGGGGACTGGGCATCCCCAAAGGCTGCAAAGTTGAAGTGTCACACAATGTTAGAATCAAGCAAAATGTGCTCTATTGTGAGTGCTTTTAGCGCTCAGAACAAACTCTCTGCAATCTAAATTTGTAATTGACTGTACAACACTTTCACAACAATAGTTCTCCTGTGTTAGGTATACTTTGAGTGAAATTGTTCCTATTTGATTAATGTTTGGTTTGAATTGATGATTCAATCACAAAAGTGAGTTCAACGATTTTCCCTTGGAAAATCCCTTGTTTACATAACTCGATTCGGCTTCTACCAGGATTCTGTGTTGAATGCAGTACTTTGGGACATCTTGTATTATTCCCTACTGTATTGTACACAGCATCCATATTCCACTTGTATAGGGTCTTTCCCTTTTCGTGTCGATGTTCAAATGAAAATACAAAACAAAATATACAGTGAATGAGAGCATGTCCCATTGCTGCCAATGGTGATTGTCACAATGGCAGGAGTGTGTTGGGATATGACGAAATATTAGTTTTTACGTTCCGAAAAGAAACTATTCAAGTACGAGGTTTTCGACACGTGCGATCGGACTTTGATCATGCGTGATGTTGGGATTCGACGCAAGTCTGCCGGACGCAAGTCTGTCGGACAATCTGTATCCACACAAAAAGGAAAAGATCCTATACAATGGAATATTGATGTTGTGTACGATGCAGTAGGGAATAATGCAAGATGTCCCAAAGTACTGCATTCAACACAGAATTGTCGTAGAAGTCGAATCGAGTTCTGTAAACAAGGGATTTTCCAAGGGAAAATTGTTGAACTCACTTTTGTGATTGAATCATCAATTCAAGCCAAACATTAGACTAATCAAATAGGAACAATTTCACTAAAAGTATACCTAGACACAGGAGAACTATTGTTGTGAAAGTGTTGTACAGTCGATTACAAATTTAGATTGCAGAGAGTTTGTTCTGAGCGCTAAAGGTACTCACGATAGAGCACATTTTGCTTTATTCTAACATGTCTCACACGGATCGGACGAACCCGGAAAGCCTGCGTGGGCTAGGACGATATCTAGCCGCCAATTATGAAACAAGATGTACGACTCCTAACCTGAACTCTACCCAGCTGACCGTATAGAAAGGTTATAAAAGAAATAGAGAAGAAGAATTCCAGATTCCGTTGGTCATGAATACTTCGAATGACCACAGTAGGAAAGTGAAAAGTACGAAGCTGGAGGAAAGCCTGCAGAAAGCCCCAAATTGGAATGACTTGCAGCTGCATCAAAAAGCACACAAATCAATCCAACTCGGAACTCGAGCAAAACACCTTCAGACTCCAGCAATAGGTAGAAAGTTTTTTATCTCCCGCCCACCTGGACAAACTATCGGAAATAGAATAAAAATCACCTGTATTACAGTACAACACAACTGTACAATTCTAGTCTCTAGATGACCATGTGGAAGCGAAATTCTACTACTCTATTGAGGTTTCCGTTTCATGTTAAGGATTCTTGGTTGTTCTCTAACCTACCTGGTACAATATGCTCCGCATCCGTTAGCGATCTCTCTCCCCTTTTGTTTTCCCCTGTTCACGCGCACTCTACAGTAGCCCCCCGCTTAGTATCGTACTATTGACGACAGAAAAGTCAAACAAGATTAGTCAGCAATGACCAAACTTCGAAGCGCCATACTGTCACTTTGGCTCCTGAACCACATAGTTTTAGGATCATGTGCGATCGATGACTCGCCTACAAGTCGACAACTGGACGATGAAAACTCAGCCTCATCTAGAAGGATGTCATCGCTTGGTTCGAAAATGACGACTCCAATGGATCCTCTCATCCGTCGTTTAAACTATCCAGAAAACCAGCCCCATATTTGTCTAGCATTCCTAAGTTGTTGCGGGAGAACCGACTTGCTAAATGCCACCATCGCAGGTGCCATTCGCCACATGGAAGAAGACGAACCGTACTTCCTTCGATTCGAAATCGCTTGGGTAGATAATGGGAGCGGGAAAGAAGCAACAAGCTCTATTTCTAATTCTTATCAAATTGAAAATGCACTCATTCTTCCGTCGAATAGTGGACTGGCGTACGGAATGAATTTGTTGATAAACAACTTGTGCAAGGCGCCGTACATCTTGTTGTTGGAGGAAGACTGGTTGTACCTAGACGAGGTTGTCGCCAAGCAAACAGAAGAGAGAAAGCGATCAGTTGCTACATCAATTGCACTTCTTGAAAGCATGGAAAAAAATGAGATATCAGCATTCGATGGACGGAGGGTTTCTGGAGTCTTTCTGCGAGAGGAGACTTACACAAGTTTCTTGCAGTGGCCACATGAAAACCTCTGGGAAACTGCACACAGTATCAACATAGAACACGAGTTAAAACGTATGGGTGCTGAAGAGCCCTCGTGTGATAAGGGAAGCAGTGCTGAAAGCAATATGGTGGCAGATATTGATTACAGAATATATTGCAGCGATCCTAGTCTTCAAAAATCACATATATGGGGCTCCTACACCAATGGAGCAGGACTTTACAAACGAAGTAGTTTGAAGCATATAGGAAGGTGCGAACAAGTCCTGTCTGATACCGATGAAACTGGCTACAACTCTCACTACTTATGTGCCTGGACCTTTTCTTCGTTGTAGAATGTATGGAGAACCTGGGGACGCTTTCCATGATAGATACACAGAAGGAAATTATGCATATCGGGCAGGTCTGAAGTTCTGCCATGCATCAATTCGGTTGACCAAAGATGTTTCGTGTGATTCAATATCCAATGTGGACTGTACTGGTGCGTTTCATCACATTGGTGGCGGCAGAGGGACTCGTCCAATGACCGCGCACGGCTCAGTTTGCGAGGATTTTGGATGGAACTTCTATCGCACGCCCATGTACAGTAGGTATCACAAATTTGTAGAGGCATCAACTGGCACGGCAGTGCAAATGTGCAGCCGTGAAGAGCTCAAACAACTTCAGGATCGAAAATTTCGTGATAAAGGTAGGCTTCTTCTGTCTTTTTCAACTTCATGAACTCAAAACGAATGATGTGACTGACCGATGCAATGATAGATTCGGAGAGCTACAGACGTCAAGTCAAAGAATCAAACGCAGAAGTATTTCAGCGTGAGCAGAAGCAACGAGACAACATGCGACGCGAAGCTCGACTTGTTCTTCAATATGTAGATGCAGGCCGGTCGGATGCTCTGCGAACTCAAGTATCATGGATGGCAGGCAAATCTGAAGAGAGCATCCGCATTATGGCAACCAGAATGATCAAGCTTGCAGACTCCCCGCACCCCCTCACTGGTTTCTGGGACTCTCATGGAAGAATTGTCAGCAACCAAGATACGGAGCAACATGAACGAACGAAGCGATGAAGCTGAAGGGATAAGTGATTCAAAGACATGCAGGCTGAATATGCAGGCTTCAAACTTTTCCTGATTAGAAGTGCCGGAGCTTTGTGTACAAACGGTACAAATGTTTAATTTGAAAGTTGACGATGAATCAATTAACTTCCTACCTGGATACGGATGTACTATCCCATGGTAATCAATACTACTGCGTGCGATAAACGATATACATATTACAATTTGTACTCTACTATTTCTCCCCTTGTTGTTGTTGGGGTTTCAGGTCAGTTTGCACCAACCCAAACAAGTGAACGAATCTAATGAGTCGTATCAAACTTCTTTCTCTTGTGCTGTGAACCCTCAGAAAAACCGAAACAGCCAAGAAGATGTCCTACGATTATGATGCACTCGTTCTGAAGATATCAGAGAGCCGGCGATCAGCAGTCAGTGCACAGGGTGACGCAAAAATTCCTTTTCTTCAGCAAGCAGTAGATACTTTTGAAGAATTGAGCACAGTTTGTCCAATGACACCGATGCTTTGGATGCAATATAGCGCAGACATGGAAGATCTTTTGGTCTTGTTGACATCTGATCCCCGTGGCGCTCGAGACGCGCAGCTTCAATTGTTGGAGCTAGCAGTTTGTGAGTTCCCAGGGAGTGCCTGTCTACATCTTCGGTATTTGACTGTTTTGAGCAAACACAATGACAATACAAGATTTTTGAAAGCTTTTGGAAGTGCTATGAAAAATGTGGCAATAGGGTCCCATCGTAATGAAGGTGAAATCGTTGCCGCCATATACGCCATCGCTGCTGAGTATCATGCCAAGAATGGAGACTTTGAACTGGCTATACGAAGGTTTTACGAGCGCGCACGAATACCAATGAGGGATGTTAATGATGGGCTAGAAGCAGAGTTCAAGGAATTCTGCAATCTATACGGGAAGCAAGTAACTGTGCATCAAATGCAGTGGCTAGAAGATGGCCGTCGATACGAAGCCAAAGCATATCGTTCACTAGTGACATATGAAGATGAGATCGATATGGCGATGCATAAGCAAGGGATCCTTTCGCGTTATCAAGTTCAATTTGACGAAATCAATTGGGACGCTCTTTTAAGAAGTGATGAGAAACCATTCTGGATGGGACTCGGAGACGCAAACACGGCCACTTCATTCATTCAATACGCCAAAATGTGTTCTAGATTCAGGACACCAGTTGAGCATGCAGAAGAAATGAAAGAGCTTGAATGCAATGTTAAGGGTCTTGCTTTATGCGTGTATGAGCGAGGCGTGGCGGAATGCCCAACAGTGGAGTCAATATGGCTTGCATACATTTCGCATATGTTCCGGTTGAGCAAAGAAGATGACACCATCATACCACGTCTAAAGGCAGTTGCTGATAGATCTGTTCGGAACTGTCCGTACAGTTTATCATTATTCCAGTGCAAGCTGCAAGTAATGCAACTTATGGCCGCGAAAAAGATAGCTGTTATGGATCCAGATGAAGTGACGAAAACTATAAATGATGCTCTGAACGCCAAGTTCCTTACTTCGAAGGAATCATGCCTTGAGCTTCATTTGACTGGGGTTCGCATATTGAAGCGTCACATTCTTGTTTCTTTAGCCCAAGCTTCGAAAATGGCAAACGAAAATATTGCATTCTACGACGAAGCAGAGCCCATGAGCCAGCAAAAGCATCATCCTCTAATTGATGATGAAAAAGCAGCAGAGCTTGCAGACCTTGTGGTGGATATTCGAGAAATGTACGACGATATCGAATGCTATGTACAAAAGCAGTTTCCCTCATGGCCTGCCGGTCGATCCCACGTGTGTCTTGATCGGTCGTTTGCGGAGATGTATCTGCTGACTCCACTAGCCGAAAGCCTCAATGAAGCTGCTGATTCAAATCGATTCTCAGATGCCCAATCCAAAGTCATTCGTTGTTTCGACAGGGCTACAAAGTTGCATCAACCGCCCAGTCCTTCCTCGTTTATTTCATACATTGATGCTTTCTTTGCGCACTTCGTTGTTTCCGGTCCACTTCTAGTACTTTCGAGAATCCGACAGATCCGACAAATATACAAGAAGGCCATAAAAAATGTTGGGCCACCGAAAGAGGATTGGAAGACTACTATTGACTATCGAGTATCTCTACAATTCCTGTGCCATAGGTACTTGGAATTTGAAGGAAATCTTGGATCCGTTGAATCATTGGAAGATGCTTCGCTGATAGTACGCAGGAAACTATCCAAAGTGCTGAATGCGCTTCCGGCCGTTACTCCGAAATCTGCACGAAGTGCAACTGTAGACACGCCTGAAGCGTCGATAAAGAGTGGAGAAGACGGCCCAGTAAATATCGTAGATCCAGCAAAGAAGCGACCGGGTGAAGAGGTTTCGAGCGAACCCAATTCAAAGAAGACGAAGCTTGAGGATGGCAGCAAGCAGCCCTTGCAGAGTATAGACAATGAAAAAACACCACAAAAAAGTGATCTGCGTGTCCCAAAACAAACACTGGAAAAGGTGAAGGTTGGAAATTGGCTTTATCCTGCTCACCCATTCACTATTCGCATTTCAAACCTTACCGAATCGACACAAGATATGGATTTGGTTGACACACTTCGAAAATCATGCGGAGCTATTGTCCATGCTAAAATCTTGCGTGAGAAGCACCGCCGTGGATCAGGGAAATCAAAAGGTTGCGGTTTGGTTCAGTTCGAGGAAAAGAGTTCTGTCCAGAAAGCTCTAGAAGCCTCAGAGGTGCTTCAGATTCATGAAAATCGGGTAATCATTGAGCGATCGCACGTAGCTGCTGTTTCGCTAGTCCCGCCTGGAATGCACCGAGTCAATCCAAAAGGAAAAGGGAAGACCACAAAGCAAAACGAGAAAAGAAGCGAACAGCGGCTAGAAAATCAACACGCTCCAACAAGTAACGGAGATGCGTCGAAGGGCGAAAAATCTGAGAATAGTGTATTGACATTTCGTCCTCGTGCTGTTGCGAAACCATTAAAGTAGGAACACGAAAGAGCCAAATCTCAATTTAAAAAGAACGAAAAGAAGAGTGCTATTCAGTTAAAAATAGTAGGTACACAACAATCAAAATGAAATCAACGGTGGTTTCTCCAATGTCTCGGGTTGGCGTCCATAGTTCCGAAGTCACCATGTGGTGTTTCAACAGTGTGGAAAATTACAAGACCAAAGGTCCACAAGTGCAATGTTACAAGATATGCCAAGAAACCCAAACGCGCTAGCGGTTCATTTCGCATTAGACCTCCAGTTTCAACCATCCATTTATCTAGAGCGTCAATTGTGGATACGACTTGTTCCATTATGCTGCCCAATGCCCCATGGTCTAGATGTAGTGATGCACGAATAGTTCGTCCCATTGAAACCGGACGACGTCGAGCGCCCTTCATTCTGCGTCGTGAAGATGAAGAACCAGCATTTTCGACATCGAAGCTTCGTCTTGCGGGATAATCTGAGGACGATTGAGCAGTAAAGAGAGATCTTTCTGCAGCTTCAGCTCTCGATGTTGCCGATTGTAGTCTCCCCTTTAGTGCCAACACCTCAGACTTCGAAGCTTCCGCCATTCTTTGCTGTCGCATCAACTGATCAGAAAGTTTTGCAATCTCTTGTCTGGCTTCTTCAATTTCTGCACTCGAGACATCTTTCTTTCTGCGATTTTTCTCCAAATTAGATTCGGACCCCATAACTTTCAAAGAGTGGAGTGATGATTTAAGGTGCGCTACGTTCGTCTCAAGGTCTGCAACTTTCCGATCCTGCTGCAGCTGTTTTGCTTGCGCCAATGATATTTCTTCTGATCGCTCTTTTGAGATTTCATTGAGTTCCTTTTCCAAAGCTGCCCTTCGTTGAGTCTCCATGTTTAGCTGAACTCGTAGTGTATCCGATTCCTCAAGAGCAGCATCGTATTTCTCCTTGAAATTCGTACCATCACTAGGAAGAGCCTCAGGTGATGGTATGGTGGAGCCGTGGTACACTCGTTTTGTTTCTGTAAGTGCTGAGCCAAGATCAAGTATTGTTTTCTCCAGTTCAGCTTCTCTGGTTTGCCGTAGATTCAACTGTCGCGCATGCTGTGATAAAGCTACATCAAGTTTATCTTCAGCCTCTCCTTGCCTTGTTTCAGCTTCTTTGATACAGAGCGTCGCAGCCTCCAATTTAGACTGTAATCCTTTAACTTTCTCTTCTAGCTTGGAGACATCAAGTTCAAGGTTGGATTGCTTCATTTCCGCCAAGCTCAGATTCTCGAGAGCTTCTCGCTCTCTCTTCACAGAATCGTCTAACTCTTTAGTCCAACTGCCACTCTCTTGGGCTCGTCTTGCTTCCTCAGAGTCCAATTTGTTCGTGACGTCGTTTAGCTGCTTCTCATAGCTTGCTTTCAAGATTTCAATTTCCGTGGTGTGAAGGGCTTTGAGTTGTTCAACTTCTTCATCTTGGTCGTCCAGCAACTCTTCCCGCTCTTCTTGGGCCAGTCGTCGATCCTTTTCCATTCGTTCTCCTGCACGCCTTAGTTCTTCGCCTTGCGCATGAATCTCAGAGTTCGCAGCCTCCAGTTGAGAAGCAAGTGCCGAGACTTGCTTCTCCAGCTTTCTATTTTCAGTCTGGGATGTTTTTAGCTCTTCGGATGTCTGGGTGAGTCTATCTTGTATGCTTTGCACTTTTGCCGTAAGTTTGCGCATTTCCACATTTGAAATCGTTTTCGATTTGTGTTTCTGCTTTCCATCCAAAGTTGATGTTTGCACAAATGAAACAGGCTGTGTTTTCGGAAGACTGATTGACGATTGACGGGTAGGGGGCTTGGGGGGCGCATGGGAGTCGGTAGAATTTCTGTGTTTCGAGGAAGCACCGTCGCTATCGTTTTCCGCCTCTAGCTGGGCTGCAGCAACCTGCCTTTTGATTCCATCCGTATCGGCTGATCGTCTCGGTGGTCGGGGCGACACATCCATATCACGAGGTTGGCCTTTTGAAGCTATTTTCGAAACCGTGGCTGACACAGAGTCTGAAGGTGGTACAACCTGCTTTCTATACGAGTCCGTGCGACCCGGCTGATTAGAATTCCTGTCGTAATTGTATTGTTCTTCGTAGAGTTCAGCAGCATCAGTTTTCTCTGATCTCTCTGTACAACTCAATTCGCTGACAGAATCAGTATGAATCGAGGCTTGACAATCCGATGTTCCAATGGCTGCACGGCCACCGACAACTAATTTCTCCTGTAAAATTGAATCTGAGAGCTCCTCTTCTTCGATATCGTCATGTTTCGAGGAGGGCTCTCCTTTCACATGACTACAGTTACCGTCAAAGGTGTTGTCGTTGCACTCATTGTCAGTGAAATCTATGTCTTCATCGTCATCCTCGAAATCCTCTTCATCCTCCAAAAAGTCATCATCATCGTGGCTTTGACCATCAAAAGAATCGTCTCTTTGCAAAGTCTTGGCAACCTGCTGACCTTTTTCAATCAGCTGCCCAATGGTGCCGTCAATGTCCACATTTTCAGCCTGACCATCAAGGTTCTCAAGCAGGTTGTTGACCGATTTCAACCACCTTGACATCTTTCATCACCTATTCAAATATGGATGGATCGAAAAAATATCTAAGACTGATCGAATAAAGCTTTTTGGAAGAGCGATATGGTTTACAACTGATATGGTGTTGATCCTTGATCCTTGGTTGTAGGGCTTGCGTTTGGTAGATATTTTGGTAGGTATTTTGGGGGAAATTAGCGTTTCGGTTTTAAAAGTCTTTCATACTGTATGCTGAATCGTGCGTATAGTACATACTGGTACCGGTACACATACCACATAATAACAGTCTCGTACCAATAAAAGGGCCACACCGTCTTTGGAGACGTTTTCAATTTCGAGATACCGTAGTACCTGGTACTACAATACTGCTGTACAGGTACAATCACCCTCTGACACTGAAAGCTCCCCCAATTCGCCCACCAAACAGCAACCAATCCCCAACTGTTGATGGTGTAATACATGAAATATAATCTCAGGGAATGTCTAATTTTGATCTTGACGATAGTGATAATAGCATCATCCATGAAGACAGTGACGACGATGAAATAGAACGTGATGATGATGTTGACATTGGATTTCGACGACATCAATTTGAAACCTTTGGAAACGGACGGCCGAAACGGAGGCACAAAGAGGAAAGCCTCTATGGAGTTTTCTATCAAGAGCATCGACAGGCCAAAAGATCAAAGACAAAGTCGGCACCAATGTTTGTGGCTGCCAGCAAGAGCAAAACTCTCGCTGTGAATGGAGAGAAAACCAAATCTAGCAACAATTTTGTGGCTAAAACTAGTACGACGATCGAACCAAACGAAGAACCACGTACAGCCGATTGCACCGAGGAACATGTTACAGTCGACGAAGAATCACCGGATGAGATCAAGATTCGAGAAGAGCAAAAGGCTGCTGATGATTACTTCTTGTCATTGCTCAATAAGGGACGGACAAAGCAGCGTGCCAAATCGAATCGTCATGAACCGGGCTTGGTATCAAACCCTGCGGTTGGTGAAGAAACAGCAGGATTGAGTGCAGGCTTGGGATGGGGGGTGACTTCGTCTTTTGGCAAGAAGGACGAAGGTAGGACGTCAATAAAACGTAAGCCACAATCTAGCCTTGGGAAATGGGAAAAACACACGAAGGGAATTGGTGGCAAACTCTTAACGAAAATGGGTTGGTCAGGGGAAGGAGGACTTGGGTCGAATCGCCGGAAACTGAAAAAGACGCAGGACGAGAGTGGTGATGGCAAGGCTGAAACGGCGGAGTTGGAGCAGACGAGAAAGGGGATCTCGAGGCCAGTCGACGTGGTTGTGCGTCCAACAAGTTTAGGTCTCGGCTTTGGAAACTTCAAGGAGGCGTCACAGCTAAAGACAAATCGACAAATAGAAGCTGAAGTTCGGGGGCTAAAGGTTTCGTCACAAAATGACAAAAAGCAGCAGGTTGATGAGACCATCGAGAAGGGCTGGGGTCTTGCAACCAAGAGCTCGGCAATTCCTGGAGCTGATCAAGTAATGGCTCAGAAGCAATGGAAGCGAAACCGGAAGGGGAAGTCTTCGAAAGTGACGATAGTCCCTTACGAGGAACTCCTCAGAAAAGAAGATAAGGAGGAAGATGGTATGCGGATAATTGATATGACAGGACAGCAAGCTGATAGGAAAGAAAAATCTTCCCGGGATGGACAAGTGCAACTTGGCGCTGAAATCCTACACAATATTTCCTTTTTGCTGAATACACACGAGAACAAACTGCATTCGAGTTCACACTTTCTCAGATCAAATAGACGGAAGTGTGATAGTTTTCAATCGGATGTTGAGGAAATGAGGAAACGACAAGGAGATGGTCGTAGACGGATTGAAAGTTTGAAGCATATGCAAAATGTTGTAAGTCAAGTTGAGGCCCTGACGCAGCAAGTTTCAGTCAACACCGATGCTTCACTGTTGATCGATGATACTACCAAATCGTTAGATGAGCTAGCACGAGAATTAACGGCAGAGGAGAAACACTCCTTGCAGTTTTGGGAAACTATAGCACCAGCCATTCTCAGTCCAGTCATCCAACTACAACTAGATCGATGGAATCCATTACAGCCCATCGGCGAAAGCAAGGATATCGTCGATTTGATTTTTGGTTTAGTTCAATCAGACGAAACAAATGGCAACCATGAGAGAGTAAAGCTTCGTGATTCTACAGTCCACAATCAGCTCTTGCCAAAAATCAAGAGAATATTCGACTCTACCAAATGGATCGCAAATCAGCATGCAGATTTGGCGTTGGATCTATATGAATATATTCTCAAGAAAGCCATAGAAAGCTGTCCTCGCGAAGGAATAGAAGCACTAGATCCGGATGCAAACAGCGTGCTGCCTGTAAGTGATGTTGGGAAGTCGGATAATCGCCTAGCAGCCAGTGTCAAACGAATCTTGATATTCGAATCGATATATTTGAACATCCAACGTTCCATGAGCCTTTGGAAACCCAGGCTCAGACGCACCAGTGATGGTTTGCAAATACTAGATCGATTAGATCTCTGGGTACTACCCTGGCTTCCGCATTTGGATCACCCAACCATGTTGCACTGTTTGATCGTAGATTGTCGACGCAAAATTAAGCACGCAATGGAATACCTACAACGAAAATGCAAGTCTGATGAGGAGTTTCTTCGCGCAAGCATAGACATCTTGAAGCCTTGGAGAAACATATTTGAGGTTGCAGATTTACAGGGTATGGTGTCTGACATTGTTACACCTCGGTTAGCGCGGCACTTGGCAAAACAAAGACTAGATGTCGATGTTTTGGAAGACTGCACAACAATCTTTGGTATTGCTTTGGAGATGCACCGAGTAGGGCTGCTTGCTGATATTGACTTTCTGAGTGTTATGGAAGGTGAAGTATTGATCCGATGGGCGGCTTCGATTAAAAAATCCGTCCTTCTGCGTAGCAGCTCGGAATGTGCACAAAGCTATTTGGCGTGGAAACGGTTGATCCTGACCAACTTCGATCGAAAGAAGCCTTGTCGCCTTTCAACGAAAACTTTGGCGCTGCTTCAAGAGGACGCGTTCATATGTCAGATTTTCTGGTCTGTCTTACGGGTTCTTCAACTCTCCCACAGGTCGGATCAGAAGAAACTCAGCTTGATATCCTTTCCAACGACGAATTTCCAAGTCGTCGCAGCGAGAAGAGCACGAGTCCAAGAGGGATCTTACGATGAAGAAAAACCTCGAAATCAATCTATATTTACGACCGAGAAAGAGACTCGCGCCAGGCTACAACGACTCAATGTCACCACCCCAACATTTCGCGAAGTTGTCGAAGAGTTTGCAAAGAATGAAGGCATCACATTTCAACCTCGAAGTGGTTTCAATGCTATGAAAGATGGAAGGCAAATATTTCAGTTTGGAAACGCTTCAATATACATCGAAGGTGACGTTGTTTTTACACTTAAGGGCAAAGAGTGGATACCTGTAGCACTGGATCAACTTGACGCATCGTAATGCTAGACTACACACAAGGGTGGCATTAAAAAAAGAAACTGACTAAGCAGAATGATCCTTCCAGTCAAACTTTGGTTGCGTCTTTCTCGATGTGGGTTGACCATCAGTCATAATTTTTACCAAACGATCTCGGATCCGATCCTTCAATGTCTGGTCTCTTGTGTTGATCCAAACTTCAAATCTGTACATAGCATAGTGTCGTGACTTATCTACCACCCGGGCTCCATTGATGTGGTCTTCAAAGGTTCTATCTTCATCAGCGGAATCTTCAAGCGTCTCACTAACAACTGCAATGACGAGATTCTGCCAGTACAAATCCAGCACATCCAACTCGAAATATTGTCGGCAGAACCACTCTCCTCCAATCACATTCTGTGGATCGCCCCATTCAGGTTCGATCCCTTTTTTGAACAGCGAATACTCTTCTATAGTTTTCCCTTCTGGTCCGACCTTTTTTCTGCAATCGCCGTCAAAGAAGACATCTGAGGGTCTGGGTAAGTGATTGAAATACTTCCAGAACTGTTCGACTGTTGAAAATTCACAGAGCTGCTCCATATTCTCTTTCCACTTGCTTGGATCTTTCGATCCTGAAGCAGACTTATGCTCCCAGAGAACCCAATCTATTGTTTCAGTGTAGAGGTGAAAAGTGAGAAAATTTCTCAAATGATGAAAAACCGTCCGAATGATGGGACAAACGATAGACTTGTCCAACGAATGAATTCGTGAGATTGCAAGTGAAAACCTTAGTCTTACCATTTTGAAGTGGGTGCGTCTCTTCTGACATTGTAAATGGCTCGCAATTTCAACCCTCCCATGTACAACTAACAGCCTGTGGTCCAAGGTCGTTGTTTTTTCGATAACCTGGAAGTAACTGCAAACAGGCAGACGACATGGTGGGAGCATAAAAAGCTGTCGAGTGAGTCATAGTATTCAGTCCCACGAAGACATTCACACTTGACCTGTTCGAATGAATCGCGCAAATCTAGCCGTTAACGTTTCAGGTGGCATGTGCATGTGAAATAAAACTGTCATGAACTCTCACGAAACTATTTGGAGAGTTTGAGAGAAGTTCGTACTGTTACTTCTACGCAACCGTGTACTGAATATTCTGGTATATCTAAAACTCCAGTAAGAGCATGTTGCACAAAATCATTTTGGGACACAAGGAAAAACTCCAACTTTCTTCTCACACTTTCGACATCCAATTGTTCTTGTCAGTAAAAAGCAGACGCATCATGAAAGTCAAAGAACTACGCTCGTGGCTAGAAAACTTTGGTGAAAAGCACAAGCAGCATTATAAGCACGGGATCTCGCATGCTCAAGAAGCTAACCAGGATGAGGACAATTTGCTGACGATTCAAACCAAGCCATCCAATGCGTCTACAAGTCGAATGTCTTCGGAGGACAGCATCACGTCAGAAGATGGTGCTTCCCTTTCCTTGGCTTTCTCGTCGTCACCAACTGACACGAATGACATTGTCATATCCATTGGGGCTCGATCCAATCCTGCGGACGTGGGAGAAGGAGAATGTTACTTCCCTGACCCCAGCTTCGTCGTCTTGAGCGATGAGTCTTCTGTTGAAGAAGGTGATGAAGACTTGGAGGATTTTCAATTGCTTGGAGATACATTTCATCCTATTTTTGAGGAATCCAACTTTGGGACAGAACGTAAGAGCAGTCGTCGTGTGACTTTTGGTGGTATCCAATCAGCTGGAAGCATTTCTATCAACGATCAAGATGCTCGTCCAATCCGGTCGAAAAGAGCATCTTTGGCAAATGATGCAACGGGGCCCAACTCGTCATTGGGTAGCCGTGATGTCGCGGGCGCCAATACTGATGAAGTTCCACCACCATCCATGCAGCAGGCGAAATCAATTTTCCGGAAGAAATTAGATCCTGCAGCCGTCGAATTTCTCCAGCCCAAGCAACACCTGTTGTGGGAGACATCTACCCGAAAGCCTGTTGGAGCTCCCAGATCTAGTGTTGGCGCTGCAATTGAAGTTTTTGGAGGTCAAGGGGGTCGGGAAACAATTGTATCAAGACGGACCGATGAACTCCAGCGCCGATGGTCGGAAAACAGAGCTGTGACACATGTCAAAAAGACAAAGTGGTGCGTCTGCGAAAAAACTGGAGTGTACAAGAGGAAGATTGTTGTTGAGCCTGAGTACAGATCTGTGTAGAAAAAAGGGTGAGGTGGAAATTGAGACAGCGGCACCTCTAAATTTGACGCCTGATGAAAGTAGAAGTAATAAACCAAACGAGCGTGTCAAAGAAAGAACGTCTCATTTCTCCTTCACGAAAGTTGCGAGACGCGTACCCATCACCTTTTTTCATGTCACTGCGACACCATTCAAATTATTTTTTCCTCTCTACGTGGCGGGCGGACCGTTAATAGATTGATTGCAGCATTCTTAGATGAATTTAGGCACATTTTCGAATGTTGTAAATTTTCAATTTCAGGGATATCCCGCAGTTTTCTGTGAAGCCAGCTTTCTCTTTTTTTTGGAGAGTCGATGTGGTCATTTTCACCCTCTTCTGCACGAAACTCCAAAAATCGACTTTCACTTATTGCCTGTCAGAAAG